TTTTGTCATTATAGCATAAATACCATGCATTTAACGGGCCAATGCATCTTGTTATTTTCGATACATTCAATGGTGGCCTGACGTCTGGTCTGAATCTCTTTATCGAAAAAGTGAATGTGGCTTCAGATTCAATAATTGCCCTCTCTAGGCCGTTCACTGCCGCCTTTGCCGAGCAACTCGGAACGAAAGTATCCCGTCATGAATGCTAGGAACAGTGAGCACTGGGCAGTCTAGTCTAGTTTTCTGAGGAAGACGATCTGTAGGGAACTTTGGCTCCATCAAAAAATGTGGCAAACTGACACAGAAACCAATGAAATGTTTCAGGAAAGTAACTTCATAATGATATGTGCATGGGGAAGGGAAAAGGGTACGATTTCACTCGGCATTCGCTCTCGAAGTTGCCATGTTGCGTACTGTATGTGGAACTAGGACTGAATTTTCACAGAGTTTGCTAGCAGTAGGAAAATTAATAGATGGACACTCTAGAGAAGCCGCCAACATGTAAGTAGTGAGAAAAAAATGGTAGGTTTAGAAAACAAAAAACTAACAAGGTTGCCACTTTTGTACCCTTTGGTTCATAAGTGATCTCTGGGTGGAGGGTGGGAAGAAACGAACTCAGAATTTGCCTGTTTGGAATTTCGGGGTGCTGCAGAGTATAAAGATGATATCTCGCAACCAGTCGCGCAATTTTAGGAGGTGTGGAATGCAGCCTGTTTCTGGCTGCGTTTTTGCCATAAGTGATTGTTGTGGGGTGCCGTTCGGCTTTCGTGTTGGGCTTTTCCTGGTTCCCATCGATCAATGCCAATGCCTTCTATGGAGACCTGTAAATCCCTGCGAGCCATGCATTGCCAGGCGAATCGTTTCCCAGTTGACAAATGTCCCACCGAGGTACAATTGAATAGGAACTAGCGTAGAAGCAAAATGCCCCTCCCGAGCGAGAGAGCGCCGATTCAGAAAGAAAACAGTGGTGAAAAAACACCGCGAGTAGGCTCATGCCATACCTCGTGACTGATTGGGGCTGTATCAACCGTACAAATATCCTATTAACTATATGTAGCCATCATATTTTTGCTTTTGTTGTTGCGGGAGTTCTTCTTATTAGGAAAGCGTTCCCAACTAGACATCTGAAAAGTAGCTTTCTCGTATTTTTCACTCTCAAATAGAGGGCGGTTCGGCTTGACAGGGACACCCACCTTCAGCTAATTTTTATGCTAACCCATTTTCGTCCATGTTAATATAATTCAGGTTTCATCTTGTTGAGACCTGTCAACTCTTGTGAAACAGCAAAATATTACAGGCGAGCCGCCTTGGTTACGATAATTTACAGGTCTTCACAAGGTGACCTGACCAGCTTCGCTGAGTAATACCTGTTGCCCCCACCAAGTCGAACCGAACGTTCTTTTTTCCTATGCTTCGGAATGTATTAGTAAGGTGCTTGTTCAGGGTTTGACGTAAACGGTGATTTGTTTACGCGACCACATGCCATCGCTGTGTTTCATGTTGAAGGGAATTGAGTCCTTGGATGGCAAGAAGTACCCAACATACAAACTCGAGACGGCAAGTCCCCGTTGTTGCTCATACACTTCACTATATCAGTGCTTCTGAGATGGTTTACGAAGTTATGATGTTCTAACTATAAAATTTAAATACGGGCCATTCAGGACAGATTTGATCCTTCACCACTTGATAAGGAGCTTGGCCAGTGTATTTGGAGTTGATCGCGAGATCGTTACTGTGAACAAAGAAGGTATCAGCGGGTCAGAAATCTCGAAGCATTCCGCCGAACAAAAGGTA